ACACTCCTTGTATCCGAATCTTGCTATTTGGAAGCTTTATGAAATGTTCATTTTCAAAAAAAAAAAAAAAATCAACTAATATTAGGAAATTCGTGTATGCAAATATTTAATTATTTATTAATTTGTTCCAGACTAACTTACATTTACAATTAAGGACGTCAAAAGCGTTGTGCTGCATTTTCACCACGGTAAACTTAATAAAGTTCCTGTCCAGCCAATTTTCATACATTTCTAATATATAAAAACTATTTTTGAAAAAACTAATTAAATAAAAACTTTAAACTTGCAGGCCGGTGCCTGCAAATTGCTTAAGCCTGCATGTTTATAATGTATTTTTTATAAAGACAAAAAAAAAAGGAGAGAAGCCAGGACGGGGCATTTGCCATCACGAATAACAGATAGTTTGAGGGACAGAAGTGCCTTTCTGGAGCCTCCAACAATCCAAAGTCATATATCATTCATGATCAGACAATGTTTACAAACAAGCTCTAAATGACAATCCATATAATTCGACGAAAAGAAGTAAGCAGGCCATTCCTCTAATACAGGAACAAGAGGAAGGTACATAGTTTGAATATCCCAAGTAAAAGGGATTTTCATGCAACAGACAAATATGACTTGCAGGTGATTTGCATCTACAAGAAATTTTAAAGCTGTGAAATTTAATAACGGAGTAGAATCGTCTAATAAATCTCAGCATTCAAATCAAAACTAACGCTTCTCTGAAGATGAAGCGTTAATGTGCTCCAAATCTGTCCTGCATTGCTCCCTCAACTCCATTAGTGGGAGTAGATTAGTTTCCTGCACAAGGCAATAAATTGTTGTAAGTTAATGCTTCACAAGATCTTAATTTGGAAGATATCTTGATGAAAACCACTAATCGGGTTGTATTGCTTAATTACACGTTAAGTTTAATTTTCAAATGGTATAATACAGTTTTCAAATGCACTTGAGCAACCGATTCCATCATTTTTTGTGCATAACATCTTTATTTCTTTTATCATAATTCAGATTTAGGGTATGTGTGGCAAGGTGTTTATAAGCAGCCGTAAATGGATGATGAAGAAGTGGGTAGTAATTGTGGGTCCTATAAAATGTGTATATAAAAAATGGTTTGACCAAATATTTTTTGATCAAAGCGTTTATAAATACCTAGAAAGAATGAGCCAAAAATAAGCTTATTTTCAGACCACGGCTGTATTCATTTCCTGTCCAAAAATACCATGTATAATAGTTCTATACCTTCATTGACACTTCAATAAACGATGTCTACTCTCCAGGACTAGTTCTTAAACCATTTTTGGTGATTCCAAAGTTATCCCACAATAAATAAATAAAATCAACAGTGTCCTCGATTTCATGTTACAAGTAAAAACTTAGCAAAAACTCCATTCATAACCCTCGGATGCTTTTCATTTTACGAAAGAGGTATTTTGTAAGTACAGAGGCTCATAGCATTTATCTTCTGCTTTCAAAGGCCCAAATTCATTTTAGCCAATTGATAACTGCAGCATCAATGCCATCCAACAAAACAACATAAACAACCTGTCATCCTAGGTGATATTTGATAGATCATGAATAAAATTATTCATATCAGGTTTCAAGTTCACACCATAAAATAAAGCCAAGAATCAAAAAGACAAGAATGTGTTAACTTTACTGACTATACAACTAAATGAAGCATCATCAGACCGTTCATGAATGCAGAACTCCTTGGACTAACTTAAAGGGAAAAGTTTTTACCGACAAATTGGAGAATATCTCCAAAAGAAAGAATGGACTTACAAGCTGGTTAGACTCGTGCTCGCATGTGTCCACCATGTGTTGAAAGAGATACCTCCACTGATGCATCAGATCAGATTCCAACTTTGAAACTCTAGAGGAGTTTCCAAGACCATGTTTATCAGTTGCCTTACTCCTGCAGCTTCTTGCAGCTAAAATGCTTGCTTCTTTTTGGCTCTTCTTTATTGCTTAAAAAATTTGAATACAGTTTGACAAAAGAGAACAAAACTAGATCAAAATCTATAAAAACAATTTTCCAGTCATAGTTAAATAGTAGCTAACAAGTATGTATAAGCCCACCAGATATTCGAGCCTTGGTGTCCTGGTAGTGGAGGTCCAACCATATATAAGCAGCTGATTGCAAAATAAAACCATGGCCTTATCAATACACTACAGTAAAAAGGTAATATAACAGGTAAAAAATGCAATCAGATGCTTCATGACCTACAATATTTAAGGCTACATGCAAGAATGCGTATACAAACGGATTGATACCTTTTGTGCAAAAAGAACAAGAGCATGCTTTGATCAAGTCAATCCCTCCACTCATATTAGCACATTCACTGCCCTTTTTAAGTTCAGTGCATCTCTCTAATCCAAATACTCTAGATTCCTGTGACTCAGGTAGTACATTACAGTCAATAGACCCAGACTGACTCAAGACGTAACTATCAACATTATCATCATCCCCATAAGTTTGACGATCAGTTTCACTTTGAGTGCCTTCATAACTGACTTTGGCTTCATCATCGTTGCAATTCTTTCCATCAAGAACACTATCACCACCAGTTTCACTATTCGGAACCGAGATTTTAGTAATAAAACTGTCAATGAACTCATTAATAGCTTCAGCATTTATACCATGAAGACCTTTGCCCTTGTCAAGATCTAACAAATTTTGGTTCTCATTTTTGCTGGATATTTTTGAATTGTGCATTGCACCATCACCTGAATTGCTCACAATAACCTCAGCCACTCTGCCACTGCCAGTATCAATCAAGCTGGAGCACTTCTTTTCACCATCCATATTTGGAATCCCTCGAATCACATTCTCCTTTGACGAATCTATCTCATCACGAACATCAGCCTCAATTTCAATATGATTAAAAGCTCTGGCAGCACCAAGTTCTGCTACATTAGGGTCCACACTATTTCCACTCACCATTTTACCCATCCATGATATAGCACTGTCCTTAAAAGAATCAATCTGATTGCAGCGATCTGCAATGTCATTATCAATTACATCACCTTGAATAACCATCTTGGAAACAGCATCCTCACTACTAAGATCCAAAATCTTGGGGTCCTTATTTTCATCAAGAGATCTTGAACTACCCCTTTTAACATTCTTCTCTTTTTTAAAATGGTCACTTTTGCCACTATTTTTCGAGACATCTTCAACTTCAGCTGTGCTCTTGGAGACAGCAGAATCCTTGCATAAATCTAAAGCATCTGCGTCCTTTTTTTCATTGGGCACTTTTGAAATACTCGATATAACATTCCCTTTCAATGAGTTAATCTCGGTACACGGGCGAGGCAAAACACGTGCCTGTTTAACCCTATCTTGATCTTTGAAATTATTTCTCTTAATCCCACATGTTTCTTTCTCTGAAGATCTCCTCTTGCCAAGCTGATTTGTGACATCACCGAACACTGATCGTAATTTCCTACACCCATCAGACGCATTCCCCTCAGCCATCATGAAAATCCACTCGCTGCAACAAAACCAAGACCAATTATTCAAAACCCATTCCAAAATTAACTCTCTGACACTTGGTTCACAACCCTACTTAACAGATTTCTCCAAAATCATAAATTTGCCCAGCCCCCCGATCCACAAACACAGATATAAAAATATCGCAAGTAATAATTTTTCAATACAGATCTATATCAGGAAACAAGAACTAATCAGAAAAATAATAGAAGTATGCAAAA